CACCCACTTTGTCTTCAGCTGTTGTGTCGGGAAGGTGAGCATCATAGAATGCCAATTTACTAGAAGAAAGTATTCTTGCATTGAGGGAGTACTTTTTAAAGCAGGCATCTCCTTACTAGGAGAGTTTGAGTTTGACCCCAGCAGCACTAATGGCCCTTTACGAATGCAGACGGGTGGATCTGATTCAATTTTCTCCTCAGGTGTTCAGCTGGGGCATAGACTCAGAACTTAGTGACTGGTTTCTTCAAAGAGCCTGGGCTCACTCTGTCCTCTTCTTTTTCCTGTCTCCGGTCGCCGCGCCCTCCGACTCCTGTTCCCACAAAGCAGAAAGCCGCTGGAGACCCGAGCAGACCCATTCTGCTGCAGGTCGCAGAGTCTGCGTACAGGTTTGGCCTAGGGTCTGTTGCTGGAGGTGAGTGCAGCGTTGGCTTTCCTATTGTTTCTCTTCTCTCTGAGTTCCTACCGGGAAGTATCGCAGGACAAGACCTCCCTTACTCCTCCGGTCTAGTTGCCTTCCAGTTGCTGCTGGAGGAGAGGTGGGCTGAGAGAAAGGGAACGTCCCCCCACACCTCTGCGTGATCGGGGACTTCCAAGTGCCATTTGCCCCTCAGGTATCTGTAGACGGGCTTTCTAAGAGACAGGTTATTAAGGAAGCTACGTTGTCGTGCTGTGATTGTAATTTAAACCGCCGATGACATCCTTTTCCCGGGACACTTGAATGAAAATCCAAAGTTGTGATTAGGGGATTGGCAGGACAGTACAGTTTTAAAATCAGTACATGCAAAATGTGCACCCTCCTTTTCTCATTTTTCTCTTTGACCTCCCCGCCTCCGTGCCCCTGCCTCTGGCTGTAATACCCCCTAAAATATCAGTGTCTTTTTGTAGCTGTTGGAGCCACCGCCGTGTATCCCATCGATCTGGTGAAAACTCGAATGCAGAACCAGCGGTCGACTGGCTCCTTTGTGGGAGAACTTATGTATAAAAACAGCTTTGACTGCTTTAAGAAAGTGCTACGCTATGAAGGCTTCTTTGGGCTGTACAGAGGTGAGTGCCGGTGCTAAATGTCTGTTAGGTGCCATCATGGTTCATGTGCCTGAAATGTATTAGAGGGACTGCATTAAAATGGAAATGCAGCAGATTCTTAATTATCCATGCTAATGGGCTAGGCTGGAGGCATCTGGGGCATGGCTAAATCAAAACAGCCCATAATCTGAAAGCCATTTATATTGGTCTGTAGAATGCCTTAATTCTTTACATAATAAAATTATTTTTTAAATAAAACCTCACTAGCGACTTTTGAAAGAATTCATATTGCTCATGTTCACCTTGCATCCCAATAGAAACCCAGCCCAACCCACTGCCATCCAATCAGTTCCCAACTCAGGGCCACCCCACGTGTGGCAGAGGAGAACGGCCCGGAGGGTTTTCTTGGCAATGCAGGTTGCCAGGCTTTCTTCTGCGGTGCCACTGGGTAGGGTCAAACCGAAAACCTTGAGGTTAGTGCTTGATCACAAATGATTTGCTCCACCAAGGGACTGTTAAGTGCTCTTCTCATCAGTTGATTGGGAAAAGCACCCCAGGGACAGGACACAGCCCTATTCCCGGTAATGCCTGGCTCTTGTGTCTACGACAGAAATGTCTAATGGTCAGGCAGGTGACCACGCACTCAGTGGAGCCCTTCTTTGCTGCCTCTGGCTGAGCTAACGTTGACTCTGAACCCGATGGACACCAGCCAGCCAGGTTATCCTTCCATAGCCATCTGCCCTTTCAATCATCTGAGGCTTACTGAGCAACCGTCACAGTGGCAAAGAGGATGTCATCACTTGTGGAGAGGATCCCCAGACACTGGCTGCTTTTCCATTGGCCATGGTTTCAGGACATAGGACTTGACTCCCATGATGGGGCGGTTAGACCCCAGTCCAACTTCTCGCGCTTTGTGGTCACCTTCCACTGAGAGGAAAGGAGCAAGTGTCTTCGGTTCAGCTACAGTACAGCGGCATGAAGGAATGCAGGGTGGCCGCACCGTCTGTCCACGTCCCCAGAAGAAAGGAGTATGTAATTCTCTGCAGAGCGAGAGCAGGAAGCCGGCAGCCGAGTCAGCCTGTGCCTCTGGGCCTCTTCTGCCATCTGCTGACTCCAGCCCCTCACCTCTTACCTGAAGCACCTACGTTAAAACAAAAAACAGAAGTTGAACAATCCTCTCTGAACCCTCTCACCTTAGAAGCTAGAAGATTCCAGGCTCCAGAGAAGTTCCATTTTGCAGGTTCTATTGTGTAGGGAGATAACCCCCATCAAAGGCCTTTTGATCTGTTCTCTGCGCTCTTTCCTCTACCCCTGCCTCCTCTTACAATTTAGAAGGTCTTTGACCCCAGTTGATTGATGATGACCCTTAGAGGGTCACTGCCTTCCTTTTGCAACACTGCCCCGCCCCCTTTTTGCAAATGAAACAGCTCTCAAATACAGTACAAGGTTAATGTCACAGTTGCTGCTTTGTAGTGACTCAGGCAGAGATGGACCACTTCACCTGTTCTTATGGGCTGCTTTCTGAAGGGAGCCCTTAGAACCTCAAGCATGGCAAAAAAATCTTGAATGTTGGAGGCATGTCACCCTGCTCTAAGGGACTTTTCTTGGTTGGCTTACCTGTCAGCCCTTTTATGCCTTTAGTTTATTTGTTTTAATTATGCAAAATACATTTGTCCCATTAAGTATCTTTGATTGCATTGTTTGCTTTGCTTTAATTTGGGGGCTCTTCCTCCGTGAGCACGCTCTGGCAGGTTTTGCTGGAATCTTGTTGGCATCTAGTCTTCCCTTCCACCACCTGGCCTTTGACTGCATAGAAAGACAGCGCTTAAAGCATACTGGTTTATACGTTCTAACTTTAGTGCTGAGCTGATGTGGGCCATCCCGAAACCCCTTGCTGTCTGTGTTACTGCATCTGTAAGACTTGAGGGACTGGTTTTAACTCCTCAGGGAAGGGGAATAAGCCAGCATATTAGAGAGAAGCTGGGGATCCCTCATAACACCAAAGAGATGGCTCTTTGGCATTTACCAGCTTTAGAAATGGCCACTTGTCTAACCTGCTTTTGTGCCTTAGCCCTAAGGGCAAGGGCCCCAGCTGTCTCTCAGAGGATGCTGGGTAGACTGGAAGTATAACAGCAGGAGTTCTGGGAGCTGCCTATATGCATTTTGCCCTGGTTTCTTGCCTTTTCTTGTAGACATTTAAAAAAATCAGTATTAAACATATATTTATTGAGCATCCAGGAGCCCTGGTAGCATAATGGGCTAAGTATTGAACTGCTAACCAAAAGGTCAGTGGTTCAAACCCACCAGCAGCTTTACTGGTATCAGACTGGAGTGAATTGGTTCTAAGCCCTGGTACAGAGTCAACATATAAAATACCCGTGTGTGGCTCTTGGACTATAGGTTCTAACTCAACATAATCTTATTTAAAAATTGCTTTCCAGGGGAAAACTTAAATTTTAATTGTGAGAATTTTAGAGTTGCTACTATTAATGCTTCAGCTAGCAATATCGGAGAAGGTGTCAGCCTATATCCAATTTATAAACATGTTTCAAAATATGTTGAGCATATCTTTTGCTATTAGAGAATTTTGCTTAATATGTAGTTTTTCTGCATCAAACTTACATAATTGCTATTCGCCCCAGAGTAAAATAATTTGTGAATGTTGTATAAGTGAGGCTTTCCTCTATTTTAAAACTACTGTTAATGTATACTTTGGGGAAAAAAGGTTGGCAATTGGTGTCAAAAGAAAGTGCTTGCAGCATGCATTCTTACATTCAGTTTAAAAAGTTTATCTCCTACTTTTTTTATGATTGGATTCAACTCAGTACCATTGAGTTGATTGAGACCCCAGTGATCCTATAGGACAACACAGAACTGTCCTGGTCGTGTCCCGGGCTGTAACTTTGTAAGAGTTAGAAGCCTCATCTTTTCTCCCTGTAATTCAGATACAGTCTCTAAAAGAAACATGTTTGGCAGTTGTTTTGTATGGAACTACAATGAAGTTGGTTTTCAAAGAACTCTCAATGCTCCAGCACAGGTGGTTTAGCCCATTTCTTTCTTTGGAGGTCGCCATCCTATGAAAAGTGGTGGCTGGTGTCAGCCCCTGGCCAACCAACTGGAAGCCATCTAGCTATGTGCCCTTTCCTATGAAGGTGGGCCAGAGAATGCAGAAGTTAGGGAGCAGTTAGTTGTCTTCCACGGACATCAGTATCATATGCACGTAGAAAGGTAGCTGCATAGCATTCAAAAACCGTCACAGCAGTGCGTCAGCTGGTGGCTGACTGCCAATAATTCTCGTCAGATTCGGAGGAGGTCATGAAATGAGGACTACCATTGCTGATGTTAAATAGCTCTTGACTGAAAGCACAGACTACCAGAATTTTTACCTGGGTTTTATTGACTCTGCAAAGGTATCTAACTATATGAATCTTAACAAATTATGGATAACATTGTGAAAAATAGGATTTAGCTCCTAAACAAAAGGTCAGAAGTTTGAACCCACCAGCTGTTCTTCATGGGGAAAAAGTTTTAGCTTGTGTGTGTAAGTTTAATTGTGCTCACGAGGAAGCTGTACATAGAGCAAGAGCCAGGTAGGGATACTTTGTGGTTTAAATCAGGAAAGGTCTACATCAGGGTTGTATCTTTTCACCCTACTTCTTCAGTCTGTCTTCTGAGTGAGGAATCTGAGAAACTAGACTATATGAAGAAGAATGGGTATTATGATGCAGTGGCACCGGATTAAGACTTCTAGCCAAACTCTCAACTCCCACCAAATAGCCTTCTCCTGCTTGGGTCTGGGTGAGAAAGGTAGGGGGGAAGATACCGATAGGCTTCACCTGTGAGTGATTGTGAACAGGATTCAAATGAGCTCTCTGAGAACCAGGAGAGGGGATGTCACAACCCGCCAAAGCCAGGAGTGGAGTGCATCCTCTGGACCCAAGATCCCGACGTGAGCCTCCTGGAACCAGACGACACCTATGACGTCAGAGAAGCAGCAGCACCAGGAGCCCCAGCATGGGACCGAGGATGGGTTCCTAACCCACAGAGCAAGTACAACGGAGTGCTCTTGTCCAGGAACCTGACTTGTGGAGTGGGGTGCCCTGGACACTTAATTTGGGAAGCTGGGTTGCTGACCCATGTAGTTTGAGTGGAATGCCTTCAGGTTAAGGCGTACAGCATAGTGGCATGCCCTTTGGGCGTTTGTTAGCAGCCCAGGAAGGACAGTTACAAGTCCTGCTCAACAGCAGTGTCCTGAGCATTTCTCACTTGCATTACAACTTGTCAACTTCCTTAATAATTAGCCCTTTGAGCATGAATTTTGTCTATGAGTTCTGTGTGGCCATTTGAATGAATTAGCATCTAGATGTAAAAGTAGAGACTGCTAGCCAACACATATAATTAGCAGAAAACTTTACCAGCCTCAGATATGCAGATAACACAGCTTTACTTGCTGCAAGTGAAGAGGACTCAAACCTGTTACTGCTGGAGATCCAAGACTTCACTGTGGATTACACTTCAATGTAAAGAAAACACAACCGGACCAATAAGCAGCATCATGATAGAGAAAAAATGGTGTTGTCAGGGATTTCATTTTAGGGAGAGCTACCATCAATGCCCCGGAAATCAAATTATATATGCCACTGGGCAACGATGCTGCAAAAGACCTCTTTGCTGGTCTTGAGCTAAGCCGTGATCTTTGCAGTCACTTCACGTGCACGCTGGACCATGAATAAGGTCGACTGAAGAAGCCCGGAGGCCTTTGGATCATGTTGTCAGTGAAGAATACTGAGTACACCACGAGCTTCCAGGAGGATGTAAGCCTTTGATGCATGAATTTTGGGCATATTGTAAAAAAGGACCAGTCGCTAGAGAAAGGACACTGATGATGTGCGGTAGGGTGTCAGTGGCAAAGAGGAGGACCATCAAGGAGAGATGGATTTACACGCTAGCTCTAACAATAGAATTAAACATAGCAGTGGTTGTGATGGATGTGAGACTGGGTAGTATTTCATTCTGTTGTG